CCACTTTCAGGTCAATTTTACTATACAACTAATTGATAAAGACCTTAAAAAAGTGATTAAAAATTTTTTAATGTGATTATATATGAAAAAAATACTTTAAATAGTAAAAGAATCACATGATATGATAAGATATTTATTAATATAGAATCTGAACAATCAGATTGCTACTAAATAACAAAAATAAACAACAATAAGGCCACCCTTAACAAATTCTTTGTTTGATGTTGCCTACCCATGTCTTGTAGGGTTAGGTAGGTATTTTTTTTTACCAACAGCATAAGTTACATGTTTTAAACAAGAAAATGATGCTAGAGCCCAAAAAAAAAAAAAAAAAAAAATTGAAACGATTTGAATCATAAAAATGTTCGGGTAGGCTACTTTTTAGGTGGGTAGGTAGGGAATATCAAACAATTTTAATTTTATTTTTGGCCTAAACAATACAAATATGTAACATTATTACATTTACAAATAATATTTTTTTTAAATCTATGTTTATTTGTTTGTTTTTCTTTTTTTTTTTTCTTAAATGCTCGATGAGCATGCCTTCCCTCACCATTTGACAAATCATTAGTATGTCCAATGTACTATATTACTAATTCTTATCAGTCAAACCAACTGTTTTATAAAAGGTGTAATCTTTTAAACATTATTAATGAGATCAAAATGAAAGAGGGCAATTGAAGTGTGATAAAAGTTATATATTGTTATGTTGTCTGTCAGATCTCTGTAACTGTTTAACAGATTTCTCAGTGTAATCATTGACCTTGAATTAAAGGTTATCAAACTACTTTGTATTTAATGATCCTTTCTCTTTGTTTGAGTTAGTCTTTTTCCACTTCTGTAAGCTTAGGTATTCAAGAGTTCAGGTATTTTGGGATTAGGTGACATTTGAATAGGTTTTCGTTCATTTGATGTTTACTTATACCGATATATATATATATATATATATATATATATAGGTATTATGTTCTGGTAATGGCATCAGCATGTTGAACATCTATAGACTGTAAACTTTTGCAGAGACTTTTTTTTATTCATGTTTATTTAGAAACAGATTGAATCAGGTCATGCTGTCTGATTATTTAAATTAATCGATTATAATTTTGCAGTAGATTCCAAACATCAGTCTGATTAAATACTTCTTCTAACTAACATGAGTCCTTTAGCCCTTTCTTGCAGATTTTGCAACGATTTTGTAATATTCACGATGATTTATATTTAAGTTATATTTCTACTTGTACTTTCGAAAGTGGCAAAGTTAAATCACTATAAGTAATGAGGTAGGTTTACAGTATTACAAGTATCTTAGAAGGTACAAGAGCTTTACTATTCAATGCCATGGCATTCGAGTATCATAAAACTTTCAGGTCAGGCCGGGTACATTGAATTGACGGATGATTTGACCTAGAGAACATGCTATGCTAATCTCTTATTACAGGATAGCCATTTGACTTAATGACTTTAACAGATGATAACTAAAACTTTAATATGGCAAAATTAATTACAGTAGAAGATAAAATAACACTCTAACATCAATATGCATTTATTTATACTTTTGGGTTTCTAATTTCCGTGGATTCAAGTACAAAAAAGTACAAAAATTCTGCATATAATTAAAGAGAATTTGGGATTATAGAATAGAGAATATCTGGTCTTAAAATAAAGAACAGAGAAAATAGGCCAAAAAACAATAAAGAATAGAGATTAATCGGCAAAAAATAAAGAATAGAGAATAATGGGCAAAAAATAAAGAATAAAGAAAAATGGGCAAAAAATAAAGAATAGAGAAAAATGGGCAAAAAATAAAGAATAGAGAATAATGGGCAAAAAATAAAGAATAGAGAATAATGGGCAAAAAATAAAGAATAGAGAATAATGGGCAAAAAATAAAGAATAGAGAAAAATGGGCAAAAAAAAATAAAGAATAGAGAATAATGGGCAAAAAATAAAGAATAGAGAAAAATGGGCAAAAAATAAAGAATAGAGAAAAATGGGCAAAAAAAAATAAAGAATAGAGAATAATGGGCAAAAAATAAAGAATAGAGAAAAATGGGCAAAAAATAAAGAATAGAGAATAATGGGCAAAAAATATTAAAGAATAGAGAATAATTTGCAAAAAAATAAAGAATAGAGAATAATGGGCAAACAATAAGAAGAAGAGAGAAAAATAACCTAAGAATTAAAATTTTTGTATGCCAGATGTGCGTTTTGTGTAATAAACCCAAAAATCCAAATATAGCTCAAGATTGAAGAGCATAGACCCTGAGGATCCAAATTTTTGAAAGAATTTGCCAAATAAAGCTAAGGTTGTCTATTTCTGGGGTAGAAAATCCTCTTTGAAAAATTATAAGACCATATGAATATAAGATAGATTTGCATTTGATTAAAATAACATTAAATAGATATAGTGTTGATTTGTTTATAATTTGCTACATTTAAATTCGGTTGCTACACTTAGTTCACATTAACCTTATATTTTCAATATAGGTATCACTCACTTTTTTTCGAAGGTCTTAAGTTGTATTTTGTGGTTATACAGTCTTGCATATAAGCCCTTCAGAGTGAAAATTTCATATCTTTTCTCAATTATAAAATGGTTATCTAGAGTTGTAAATCTGTCGTCTCATGCTGATAAAGGGACAGATAATATTACTTAACAAACAGATGTTTAAAACAAAACAAAAAAACTGAGTTTCTTTTCAGTAGAGATGATAATACACAATGTGTCCAGTTTCTGGTTTTACCACTTTCGGACAGGAACAATGAAATTAATTGAAATTTTGTTTATTTTAATATTTTTATAACAAATCATTGAAATTAAATATTATAAAGGATGAAGGAAAGTTTGTGATGTTATATTTCCCTACACATAAAAAAAAAGTTGAAATTTTAATTTGTCTTCCTATAATTTCTAATTTGTATTACATGTTTATGTTTGTAATTAACTAAATATTTTCATTTATAAATATTGATAAGTGTTGTGTATTTGCTATTAATTCCTTCATGCAACAATTACCACCTATTATCAAGAAAACCGAACATATGGTATTCATCAACAAACAAACTTATAATTGAAGTGACAAATTTATTTGAAAATTTTGTGTTTTCTAAGTGGTGTATCTGATAAACTGATTTTCAACCCAACATCATTTTGATGTGATTTCTTGGGCTTAGTTGTTGGACTGTTATATTCAAATACATCAAAACATCGAATTATCATTTTGTCTTTAAATTGATCTTTTTTTCATGAAACAATGAAGATTTGCACAACCTCTTGCCTCAAAGGTCCAAGTTTATCAATCAAAGCTCAGTGCAGACAGACTGTATATTTTATAAAAGGAGACGCACTGAAGTGCAAGAAATTGTAAGAATATTGGTAATTTATATGATATAATACTATAATAAAGCTGTACGAGCTCAGGATGTGTGTAGGAGCTTTTTATTTTAGAAAATGTTTATTTTTTGCTCATAGAAGGAAGTAAAATATAATTTATCTACAAATTATATGAAGGATTTGTCACACAGCAGGATGCTGCATGACTTATGCTGAAAAAGACATTTTGTAATTATTGTTATAAATGATTATTATATAAGTGCAATTAATCAATATATATAACTTTTTCCAAGGATAATCTCATAAATTGTTCTAGATTAAAAAAAAGTTTTGTAAAATGTCACATTTATTCCTGTATCAATGTGGTATGAATGCTAATGAGACAAAAACTATCATGACTAAGCAACAGAGTCCAAATAACAAGGATTTTAGCAACCATAGGTCACCATATGGCCTTCAAAAATATGCAAAACCCATATATTATATTATAAAAAAATAAGTATTCACAGCAGATTATGCCGGTTTTAAAAAAAATTCAATGATATATTTTCCCACTTGTTGATGATGACAGTTTAGTGTTTGTAAAGTTCTTTTTTTTAAGGCTTGATAAGATAATCATCAGACATATGGAAACAGAGTTAATAGGGTTTTAGAGAGATTCTATTGGGAAAGGAGAGAAGGAAGTGGTTTAGCCTAATTTTAGTTGATTTTTACGTCAAATTCTAAAAGGAATTCTGAAGAAAGGGTGGATTCAAGTCCCTGTACAAAACCACCACTGTTAATGGTAATAATAAGCATAGTAACAGTTAAAGTTATTAAATTCATCGATATGTGTTAACTAATTCTCCTATAGACCCTCAAACAAAATTTATGATATTGATAATTATAACATACATGAGAACCAGCAAGTTAGCATAATAAAACAAACTGACATCAATTGGTTAGTCACAGTTTTGTACTAATTTCTTCACTGCTGTAACTCTTAAATCTCGTGCAATTTGTTTTGTAATGCCTTTAAATATTCATGTTGTTTTTTTTGTAATTTTAATGAAGTTGGTACCATGAAGCCTTGTAACTTACAAATGTTAAGCCTCATGATGTTATATTCCTCAAATAAAGGAATGAAAAATTGCAATTAAAAAAAAATCATTTTGAATTTATTTTCAGTTTTAATAGTCCCACACCAGATTACAGTTCTCAGGAATGTTAAGTTAAAGTACTAACACATTTCAAATTCAAATTAGATTAATTTTTTGTTTTATATTTGTAAGTCTTTTACCTGATTTACAGTTCCCAGATAACATTTAAACAATATGCTTAATAAAATTGCGATATATTTTTATTTGGTAACAAATTTAAATTTCAAATTATCGTCCTGAACATGCATGAAATATTTGCCACTGGATGTTATGCAACCAACAATCAATCAATCAAATTCTAATTGGAGCTATTATTTTCTGTTTTACTAAGAGTCTACACAGATTTACAGGTCTCATAATTAGGCATTCAAACAATATTCTTATTATTAGAAATTGTTATATAATTTTATTTACTAATTACCAGTACTATAGTAACACATTTCAAATTCATGATTTATTTTCTTTTTTGATAGGAGGCTACTGCGATTTACTTTACGGGTCTCAGAATGCATTCAAACAATATTCTTCATAAAATTGTTGTATATTTTTATTTACTTAGCACATTTCACATATTCTATTTTTAATCTAGTTAAAAAACTATTGGATGAAGATTGTTTCCCTTGACTTAACTTGTTTTTGAAGTGGCCTCTTGACCTTGGTGATAACACGGCTCCTTGTTTATAAATCATATTCTCAGGTAGTTGTTTATTCAGATATGCTCTTAATGTTGATCTAATACAAGATGTATAGGGAAAAATATTACATTTTGACAAACATAAATTTAGTTATAAAATATAATCATTCATAATTAAAAAAACAAACAAAAGCCATTACACACCAGTATTTGAATTTGTTCTGTCATTTTAGAGTATGTATCATCAATGTTTGAAATAAAAACAACTGTTTAGTCATAGTATTACTTAATAACAAGAGTTGTTTTTTTTTTTGTCTGGTATTGTTTTGTCCATTTTTATGAATTAAAAAGATGTTGGTAACAATAATAGTGGTTTTTGATCAATTTGAAATGTTTGTATAAAAATAAGAAGATGTGGTATAATTGCCAATGAGACAATGAGACAACTCTCCACCATAGACCAAACAATGTAGACTGTAGGTTACCGTTTATCCTTCAACAATGATCAAAAACCATATGGTACAGCAAGCTATAAAAGGCCTGAAATAACAAAATTTTAAACAAATCAAATGAGAAAATGAACAGCCTGTTTTATGTACAAAACAATAATTGAAAAACAAATATGATAAAAAAAAAGGTTAATTTTATTTTCTCAAATGGATAGTATTATTGACTCTAAAGGAAGTTTCAAAAGTTAAAAATCCAGAAACATTGAAATATTTTTGAAAACTCTGAATGGTTGAAATGTGTATAAACAGGAACTTCAACAGCTCTTTAAGTTCATCCCCTCTTTTGGAATAATACCACCATTGTTTTTCCCTATTAGTCTTTGTTAAATTGGCACTTTTGAAAAATTTGTGCAGAATTTATCTTTGTTTCAAATAAAGAAATACTTGACATGAGTAAAGTTTTATCCTGTCCAGTACTTAACAGACAAAATTTCACAGAACATTTTATTGCATATATAAGATAATAACCATCACTGGAAGTTAACCAATCAAATTTCACCTCTTTTGTTCCTTTTTACAAGCTTTAGTAACCATGTAACCTCAAGTTTCCAAAATATTCTATAGAATCACCAAATAAAAAAAGAATGGTGCTTTGAAACACCCAAGATATATGTTTATGACTCAGAAATTTTTCACTGCAATGAAATGTAGGATTAATTTCCTACAACTGTCAAATTCAAGGGAATATTTTTTTTCAACCCTTTTTCATATGAAACCAGATGTGACGTACTATGATATGGTGGTATTGTGATGCTTATATAAAATCTATGGTTTTCTCAGCAATGTTTTTCGAATATTATAATCTTTGTTTGTGTCTTATTGACCTTTGTGTTGTCTGACCTTTATTAACTTATGATTTTTTGGGTCTCCATGGTATTATCTTATTAGCTCACCGGGGCCCGAAGCTTATGCCATCACTTGGCGTCCGTCGTCGTCCGTCGTCTGTCGTCATCTGTTGTCGTAAACTATTTCAAAAATCTTCTCCTCTGAAACTACTGGGCCAAATACCTTCAAACTTTAACTAAATGTTCCTTAGGGTATCTAGTTTATAAATTGTATCCGAAGTTTTGATCCATCGACAAACATGGCTGCCATGGCTAAAAATAGAACATAGGGGTCAAATGCAGTTTTTGGCTTATATCTCAAAAACTAAAGCTTTTAGAGCAAATCTGACACGGTGTAAAATTGTTCAATTGGTCAAGATCTATCAGCTCTGAAATTTTCAGACGAATCGAACAACCCATTTTTGGGTTGCTGCCACCGAATTGGTAGTTTTAACAAAATTTTGCAGTTTTTTGTTATTATTTTGAATATTATTATAGATATATATAAACTGTAAGCAGCGATAATGTTCAGCAAAGTAAGATCTACAAAAAAGTTAATATGACCATAATTGTCAATTGACCCCTTAAGGAGTTATTGCCCTTTAAAGACAATTTTACACAATTTGTTCATCAAGTTTGCTAACATTTAAAAATCTTCTCCTCTGAAATACAGGTGAGCGATTCAGGCTCTTGAGAGCCTCTTGTTTTTACTGTAAAGTACATGTTGTTTGCAAAATGAATTCACCTTAATAGCATTGAACTGTCTCCAATTATTCTCAAACCACAATTGTATATGTGATTTTTGTTGTGTTTCAAAAACAACAAAACTTTTGTGGAAACGAATGATGGATGTCAGGTCTGTTTAAAAATTTGATGGTTAATTGCTGTTTTTTTGTATGTTAAATACACAATTTTCTGGAATAAATTAAATGCAGAAGCATGCATGATAAGTACTTTAGTCTTTCTTGGAAGAGGGAGTAAAGGGAAGTGAAAGAATAAGCTTGTTTTATTGTCCCCTGCGAAATGCTTTGCGGGGGACATGGAAAAACTGGGTGTCTGTCAGTTTCGGTCTTGTTAGTGCTTATAGGTGTACAGTTCTTGCCAGATTTTTATGAAACTTATATCGTAGGTTTATATCAGCAATGTCTTGGACGATTTTGTAAATCAGTGTGGATCAGTCATTTTTAAAAGAGTTATGCCCCATGGAAACATTAATTATATGGAAAATTGCATCGTTAGCACTTTCATGTGTACAATTCTTGCCAGATTTTTATGAAACTTATATCATAGGTTTATATAAGCAATGTCTTGGTAGAGGTCGAAAATCAGTGGCGATCAATGATTTTTAAAAGAGTTGTGCCCCTTAGAAACATTAATTATATGGAAAATTGCATCATTAGCACTCTCATGTGTACAATTCTTGCCATATTTTTATGAAATTTATATTATAGGTTTCTATGATCAATATTTTTGATGAGTTCGAAAATCAGTGCTGATTGATTTTTTTTAAAAGAGTTGTGCCTCTTGGAAATATTGATTATATGGAAAACTGCATTGTTAGCACTATCATGTGTACAATTCTTGCCAGAATTTTATGAAACTTATATCATAGGTTTATAATAGCAATGTCTTTGACACTTTTGAAAATAAGTGCTGATCAAATATTTTTGACGAATTATGCCCCTTGGAAAAATTAATTATAATGGAAATTGCATTGCATTTGCTCTGGAGCCTTTATTTCTCTAAGATATTTATAAATTGTTTTAAAAAAAAAAAGTACTTTTTAGCTCACCTGGCCCGAAGGGCCAAGTGAGCTTTTCTCATCACTTGGCGTCCGTTGTCGTCGTTAACTTTTTACATTTTGAACTTCTTCTAGAGAACCACTGAATGGAATGAAACCAAACATGGCATGAATGTTCCTTATGAGGTGCTGACCAAGTGTTGTTACTTTGTAGCCGATCCATCATCCAAGATGGCCGCCAGCGGGGACATAGTTTAACATAGGACCCTACGGGAAATGCATACAAATGACTTCTTTTAGAGAACCACTGAATGGATTGAAACCAAACATGGCATGAATGTTCCTTATGAGGTCCTGACCATGTGTTGCTACTTTGTAGCTGATCCATCATCCAAGATGGCCGCCAGCGGGGAACTTAGTTTATCATAGGACCCTATGGGAAATACATACAAATGTCTTCTTTTACAGAACCACTGAATGGAATGAAACCAAACATGGCATGAATGTTCCTTATGAGGTGCTGACCAAGTGTTGTTACTTTGTAGCCGATCCATCATCCAAGATGGCCGCCAGTGGGGGACTTAGTTTAACATAGGACCCAATGGGAAATACATAAAAATGTCTTCTTTTAGAGAACCAAGAAATGGAATGGAACCAAACATGGCATGAATGTTCCTTATGAGATGTTGACCAAGTGTTGTTACTTTGCAGTCGGTCCATCATCCAAGATGGCCGTCAGCGGGGGACTTAGTTTAACATAGGACCCTATGGGAAATACATACAAATGTCTTCTTTTAGAGAACAACTGAATGGAATGAAACAAAGCATGGCATGAATGTTCCTTATAAGGTGCTGACCAAGTGTTGTAACTTTGCAGTCGGTCTATCATCCAAGATGGCCGCCAGCGGGGGACTTAGTTTAACATAGGACCCTATGGGAAATACATACAAATGTCTTCTTTTAGAGAACCACTGAATGGAATGGAACCAAACATGGCATGAATGTTCCTTATAAGGTGCTGACCAAGTGTTGTTTCTTTGCAGCCGATCCATCATCCAAGATGGCTGCCAGCGGGGGACTTAGTTTAACATAGGACCCTACGGGAAATACATACAAAATGTCTTCTTTTAGAGAACCACTGAATGGAATGAAACCAAACATGGCATGAATGTTCCTTATGAGGTGCTGACCAAGTGTTGTTACTTTGCAGTTGGTCCATCATCCAAGATGGCCGACAGCGGGGGACTTAGTTTAACATAGGACCCTATGGGAAATACATACAAATGTCTTCTTTTAGAAAACCACTGAATGGAATGGAACCAAACATGGCATGAATGTTCCTTATGAGGTGCTGACCAAGTGTTGTTACTTTGCAGCCGATCCATCATCCAAGATGGCCGCCAGTGGGTGACTTAGTTTAACATAGGACCCTATGGGAAATACATACAAAATGTCTTCTTTTAGAGAACCACTGAATGGAATGGAACCAAACATGGCATGAATGTTCCTTATGAGGTGTTGACCAAGTGTTGTTTCTTTACAGCCGATCCATCATCCAAGATGGCCGCCAGCGGGGGACTTAGTTTAACATAGGACCCTACGGGAAATACATACAAAATGTCTTCTTTTAGAGAACCACTGAATGGAATGAAACCAAACATGGCATGAATGTTCCTTATGAGGTGCTGACCAAGTGTTGTTACTTTGCAGTCGGTCCATCATCCAAGATGGCCGACAGCGGGGGACTTAGTTTAACATAGGACCCTATGGGAAATACATACAAATGTCTTCTTTTAGAAAACCACTGAATGGAATGGAACCAAACATGGCATGAATGTTCCTTATGAGATGCTGACCAAGTGTTGTTACTTTGCAGCTGATCCATCATCCAAGATGGCCGCTAGGGGGGGGGGGGCTTAGTTTAACATAGGACCCTATGGGAAATACATACAAATGTCTTCTTTTAGAGTACCACTGAATGGAATGAAACCAAACATGGCATGAATGTTCCTTATGAGGTGCTGACCAAGTGTTGCTACTTTGTTGCCGATTTACTGTTCAAGATGGCCACCAGGATATTGTATTAAATAACGGGACCAATATTAATCCAAATTTGGCCTCAATCATTATTTGGGTATCTGTTATGATTTTTATCTATCTTTACATGATTTCTAAGACCAAAGTAGAGTCAGGTGAGCGACACAGGCTCTTGAGAGCCTCTAGTTTTAGTTATTACCCTTGGATAGATAAAATATGTGCAATGCGGGGGACATTTGAACTCTGTTCTTTTATTGAAAATTATTTAAAAAAGAAAAATAGAATTAAAAATAAGAATATTGATGTACATATGTTTGCCTCGAGTAAAAAACAATGCACCCCTACAGAATTACAAAAGCTGGTGCCTTATCAGTATCTTGGACACACAATAAGACAAATGTAATATTTTTGTAGATATTTTAGAATTGTTTGATGGTGAAGCTAGAATATGAAGGCATGGGATAGGATTCTCTGATGGGTAAGTGTTCCTACAATAGAAAGACGAATTTTCACACTGTTAGACGTGAACTGTAGCATGAAAGTTATCTTGACTCTGGTGAAGGATAAATTTGAATAATTAGAATATCTTAAGGAAAAGTATTTTTCTTTGTGTTTGTGGCAAAGACTTTTGTCTCCAATTATTTTCAAACCACAATTTAAACTTGTATGCAATTTTTTTTGAAAGTACATGTTTGTTTCTTAAAAAAAAAATTCAGATAAGTTTGTTTCAGACTTGAAGTGAAAGAATAGCTTTTTTCCATTGAAAATTAGTAATGATTAGTTGTTAAAAAAGCCCAAAAACATTGATATAAAAAATACAAATTTGTGTTCAATCAAAATTACTTGTCCTGACAAAAAAAAAAACATGCTTCCCTGCAAGAGATAAAAGTTGATACCATGTCAGGTATCTTATACACACAATAAGTTAAATGTTATATTTCTGTACTTAAACCGTATCAATACTGCTTGTATTTCGTTTCCGATTCTTTTCTATGAAACAAAGTTGAGTTGCTGATATCTACGTCATTTTGTCTCTGGTGGATAGTTGTCAGTCGTCGTCTGTTAACTTTTTCAAAAATCTTCTTCTCTGAAACTGCTGGGCCAAATTTAACCAAACTTGGCCACAATCATCATTAGGGTATATAGTTTATGAATTTGTACGATGACCCCGCCTACCAAACAAGATGGCCGACATGGCAAAAATTAGAACATCGGAGTAAATTGCAAGTTTTGCATATTATTTTGAAAACCGCTTTGAATAGAGAAAATCTGACAGGGCGAAAATGTTCCGAATGTTGAGCTCTACCTATTGTTTATTTAAGTCAAAACTATCAGACGACTTCTTGTAGGAGTTATTGCCCTTAGATGAGTTTTACCATTTTTGTAGAGCCTGCGACTTTTGTTGCAGTAGCAGAATGTTCGACATAGGGATAGTGATCCGGTGGCGGTGGCTGTGTTAACTAACTTCTTAAAAGCATAATATTTCAGAAGTTAGAAGACCTGGATGCTTTATACTTTGTATATAGATGCCATATAATATGAAGTTTCCGTCTGTCATATATCCATTGTCCTTGACCTAATTTTCATTGTTCAGTGACTACTTGAAAAAAAAGTTAAGATTTTTTGTAATGTTAATTTCTCTCTTATTATGAGTAATAGGATAACTATATTTGGTATGTGCATACCTTGCTTAGGTCCTCATGCATGTCAGACAGTTTTCACTTGACCTCGACCTCATTTCATGGATTAGTGAACAAGGTTAAGTTTTTGTGGTCAAGTCAATATCTCGGATACTATGATCAATAGGTCTACCGTATTTGGTGTATGTAATGATTGTAAGGTGTACATGTCCAACTGGCAGGTGTCATCTGACCTTGACCTCATTTTCATGGTTCAGTGGTTAGTTTTTGTGTTTTGGTCTGTTTTTCTAATACTGTATGCAATAGGTTAACTATATTTGGTGTATGGCAATGTTTTACAATGTACATGTCATTCTGGCAGGTGTCATTTGACCTTGACCTCATTTTCACGGTTCATTAATGTTAAGTTTTTGTGTTTTGGTCTGTTTTTTTAATGCTGTATGCAGTAGGTCAACTATATTTGGTGACGGAAATATTTTACAATGTACATGTCAGTCTGGCAGGTTTTATTTGACCTTGACCTCATTTTCACGGTCCATTGCTCAATGTTAAGTTTTTGTGTTTTGGTCGGTTTTTCTAATACTGTATGCAATTGGTCAACTAATTTTGGTGTATGGAAATATTTTACGATGTACATTCAGTCTGGCAAGTTTTATTTGGCCTTGACTTCATTTTCACGGTTCATTGCTCAATGTTAAGTTTTTTGTGTTTTGGTCTGTTTTTCTAATACTGTATGCAGTAGGTCAAATTTATTTGGTGTATGGAAATATTTTACGATGTACATGTCAGTCTGGCAGGTTTTATTTGACCTTGACCTCATTTTCACAGTTCATTGCTAAATGTTAAGTTTTTGGGGTTTTAGTCTGTTTTTCTAATACTGTATGCAGTAGGTCAACTATATTTGGTGTATGGAAATGTTCTACAATATACTTGTCAGTCTAGCAGGTTTTATTTGACCTTAACCTCATTTTCATGGTTCATTGCTTATGTTAAGTTTTTGTGTTTTGGTCTGTTTTTCTTAAACTTTAAGCAATGAATAGATCAACTATATTTGGTGTATAAAATGATTGTAAGGTGTATATGTCTGTCTGACAGGTATCATCTGACCTTCAACTCATTTTCATGGTTCATTGGTCAATGTTCAGTTTTCCTGGTTAACTTTGTTCCTTAGATACTATAAGCAATAGGTCAACTTTATTTGATGCATGGAATGATTTAAAGATGTACATGTCTGTCTGAGTTCATTTTCATGGTTCATTGGTCAATATAGAATTTCCATGGTTTGGTCTATTTCTTTTATACTATAAGCAATAGGTCATCTATATTCTGTGTATGGAATGATTGTAGGACTATCAACATAAAATCAATGGTCAGTACAGTAGGAGAGACATTTCAGCGTGTGCACTCTTGTTTGAAACTTTTGCCTATTATATTGAAAATTATAATAGATAGACAGAAACTTTGAATAGCAAAAATGATCAGCAAGACACCATTATCTCTACCATAGCATATGCTATACTAGTTTCCTGATGTGACCTTTTACTTTTGTATGCAGTACATATTTCAATAGGAACAGACACTTAATAATCCCTTACAACTCTTATTTTTTATACGACCGCAAAAAAATTTTTGTGGTCGTATATTGGTATGACGTTGGCGTCGTCGTCGTCGTCGTCCGAAGACACATTGGTTTTCGCACTCTAACTTTAGTTTAAGTGAATGGATCTCTATGAAATTTTACCACAAGGTTCAATACCACAAAAGGAAGGTTGGGATTGATTTTGGGGGTTATGGTACCAATAGTTAAGGAATTAGGGGCCAAAAAGGGGCCAAAAATAAGCATTTTTGTAACTTCCAGACATAACTTGTGTGTTAGTGTATGGATCTCTCTGACATTGTACCACAAGGTTCCATATCACAAAAGGAATGCTGGGATTGATTTTGGGGGTAATTGCCTCAAAATTTTAGGAATACGGGGCCAAAAAAGGGGCAAAAAACAAGCATTTTTCTAGTTTCATGACAATAACTTGTGTGTAAGTGTATGGATCTTTCTGAAATTGTACTACAAGGTTCCATATAACAAAGGGAAAGCTGGGTTTGAGTTTGGGGGTAATTGCCGAAACGTTTAGGAATTGGGGGCCAAAAAGGGGCCAAAAATAAGCATTTTTCTAGTTTCCAGACAATAACTTGTGTTTAAGTGTATGGATCTCTCTGAAATTGTAGTGCAAGGTACCATACCACAAAGGGAAGGCTGGGATTGAGTTTGGGGGTGATGAATCATAAGGGGGTTCAAAAAATTGGGGGGGGGGGGATTTTTTTTTTTTTCATTTTTTTTCTTTTTTTCCTTTTTTTTTTCTTTTAAAATTTTCCATTTTAAGTTGGTTATTTCTGATTTATATTTAAAAGCAAATAATAATGATATGGTAGGAGATACACACCAAACAGGATGTGTAAATTATTATATAATAAGTATTGTGCAATAGCAAGAAATTTTCAATTGCACAGTATTGCACAATAGCAAGAAATCTTCAATTGCACAGTATTGCGCAATAGCAAGAAATCTTCAATTGCACAGTATTGCGCAATAGCAAGTATTTTCCAATAGCACAATATTGCGCAATAGCAAGAAATTGTCAATTGTACAGTATTGCACAATAGCAAGAAATATTTAATTGCACAGTATTGTTCAAAAGAAGATACTTCGTATAAATTGCTTATTTCTTGACAAATTTCAATGGGGTTTTATTCTTGAATTTTTGGGGTTCTTTAATATGCTGAATCTAACCATGTATTTAGTTTTTGGATTTTGGGCCCCATTTTTAAATTGGTCCACATTGAGGTCCAAAGGGTCCAAAGTTAAACTTTGTTTGATTTCATCAAAAATTGAATTATTGGGGTTCTTTGATATGCCGAATCTAACTGTGTATTTAGATTCTTAATTTTTGGTTCCGTTTTCAAATTGGTCTACATTAAGGTCCAAAGGGTCCAAAATTAAACTTAGTTTGATTTTAACAAAAATTGAATTCTTAGGGTTCTTTGATATGCTGAATCTAAACATGTATTTAGATTTTTTATTATGGGCCCAGTTTTCAAGTTGGTCCAAATCGGGGTCCAAAATTAAACTTTGTTTGATTTGAACAAAAATTGAATATATGGGGTTCTTTGATATGCTGAATCTAACCATGTATTTAGATTTTTGATTTTTTGGCCCCGTTATCAAGTTTGTCCACATTGAGGTCAAAAGGGTCCAAAATTAAACTTTGTTTGATTTCATCAAAAATTGAATTCTTGGGGTTCTTTGATATGCTGAATCTAACCATGTATTTAGATTTTGGATATTGGACCATAATAGGTGAATGTCCAATTTAAAATTTTTAAGTTCTTAGACCACATTCATTCTGTGTCAGAAACCTATGCTGTGTCAAATATTTAATCACAATCCAAATGCAAAGCTGTATCAAGCTTGAATGTTGTGTCCATACTTGCCCCAACTGTTCAGGGTTCGACCTCTGCGGTCGTATCAAGCTGCGCCCTGCGGAGCATTTTATTGGTTATTAGAATTTGACAACCTCAAGATCTGCAAATAAGTCAAAATGGCTGAAATCTCCAATCAACTCCTTATAAGAGTGATTGCACTATAAGGATGATTTTTACAATTTTTTTGCATTTTTACCTAATATCTTTAAAACTATATTAGATAGATAGGAAATTTAAATAGCAAAATTGATCAGCAAGACAAGATGTACTTGTGTAAATAAGTCAACATGACGGAAATTGTAAGTCGACTCCTTATTGAAGTTATTGCCCTTTAATGACGATTTTTCCCATTTTTGCCTAT